CACGTAACGAACATGTATGTCCAGCCGTTGCCGGTGAGAACCAGAAGCCGATTCAAACGAAAGTCAGTGCACTCTCTGAAATGATTAGCCCGTTTATGATATATAAGAAGAAGTTAGAGAGACATTTGAATCGCCGTAATTTTATTCATCTCTCAGCCGAAGAACTTCGCGGCTACGCGGCGGTGAACTGGACTGCGATGGGCGACACGAAACGGATGATGTTCCAGGGTCTAGCGAGACACTCGTATAATCGTATGCTTGAAATTCGTCTTTTGCCTTGCAATCAAAGAAACCGTCGGATTAGTACATGGAGAGAAAATTTTCCATTCGAACAACTGGAAGATTTCGTAAGTGAAATATATTTTTTAACCTTTAATTCGCCGAACTTAAGTAGCGATTGTGCTAAGTTCTTGTGAGAAAGAATTTTAATTTTTTTGTTTCTAACCCACACTGACATGACTGAGGTATAGTACATGTTCATGATTGTGATAAATGGCGAATATTTATTGATTCATTGACTCATTTGTTCATTCATATCTGTACTTATTTCTTTCTGTCTTTCTTACATCATGTCTATGTTTCTTCATTCATATTTTCGTTCATGCGTCCATGCACTGATTGATTTGCGACTTATTCTCTCGTTCATTAGTTTCCAAAACGCGCTATTCATTTGTATCAGGCGGCAAATTCAGGAAATTTTGTCAACCTCAAAGACTCTCCTACAATCAGCAAAATTCCACATGCTGCATACAATGCCAAGTGCACGATATACTGCATCCATTTTGTTTCCTCTCTGCCTTATTGGCTGTGATCTAGGGAACCTTGCCAAGTGATTCTCCTGGCGCATATTTTCTATGGCATCCTGATCAAATAGTTGTATTTCTTTCTGTTTGTAGAACGAGCGACTCACTGTCGAAGGTCTTTCGGCTAGCGGTTTTCTGATGCTTGTAGGCCTCGTCATACTAGAAACTCTTATAGAAAAGCGTCAATTTTCCGTTTGTATTTTTGAGATCGCACTCAATTAGTATCGATCACTCAAGACCAGAAATAAGAGTAGATGCGCACTTAAGCTTGAAGAAAAATACTTTCAACTGATGTTCGATTCTTTCTTCACACCCTAAGTATTTCATTTTGTATATTCAGTAGCATTCAGCTCGTAAAAGCCAGTGGGCACGCATTCTGGAAGACAGTCGCTGCTATTCGCTACCTGACTAAGAAGACCATCCCTAGCAGCTAGAAGGAATCGAAGACCATCTGCTCCATCAAAAGAGCGATAAAGAAGACCTGAAGAATTATCGCCTGACCTACTTGCTCTCCCACGTATACAAGCTGTTCACGAGAATCATTATCAACCGCTTCACAGGGCCACTCGATGAGCAGCAGCCGAGAGAACAAGCAGGTTTTCGAGGCAAATGTAGCACTACTGACAACCTCTTCATTCTAAACCAACTGCTAGAGCGCGCTAGGGAGTATGAACTATCCTTAAGTCTCCTCTTCGTCGATTACGAAAAGCCATTCGACAGCGTGGAACTCAGCGCTATCCTGAAAGCCCTTGCAGAAGACGGAATCGATGAGAACTACATCGAAATCATCAAAGAAGCAAATGCAGGATGCTCGACCGATATAACGCTTTTCTCAGACCCAATTCGTGTACCGATAGAGAAGAGCGTGAGTCAGGGCGATCCTTTATCACCCAAGCTCTCTAAAGCCTGCTTCGAGATGGTGTTTCGCAAAGTGAACTGGAAGGGCCATCTGAACATCAACGGCGAGCAGCTGAATTATCGACGCTTCGCAGACGACAGTACTCATCGCAAAAGATGCTCGAGAGATGAAGGAGATGATGCAAAAGCTCTACGAACCAAGTAATGAAGTGGGTCTTAAAATCAATCCAACAGAAATGAAGGTGATGCAAGGTGTCGGAATGCCCAAGGCCAATTTACAGGTATAAGGTGCGGATTTGGAAGAAGTCAACAACTGTTTCTACTTGGGCCAAGAATTGAATATGCGCCATTATCTCCTACGGGAGATCATACCGCAAAGGACTGCCGGATAGCTCAAATTTTATAGCATCATCGATGTCATCAAAGTATCAGACCAGAAAGGCTGCGCTCGCCTGTCCAGCAGCGCAGTTTTGAAGGCAGTGACATACGGATGCGGAACGTGGGCACTGACGTAGGCCGAAGTAAACATACTGGCTGTGACGGAGAAGTCAGTAGAATGTAGGATGCTTAGAACATCTCTTCGTGATCGTATCGACAACAAAACTCTTCGCAAAATATCGGAGTGGCGAGTAAAATATCGTGCGAGCCATGAGAGAGAGAGAGAGAAAGAAGGAGAGAACAAGATCCGTTGGGCAAGCGAGTTCGCACA